TATATCTATTCGTTTTAATATTTATATAATATTTAAACAAAATTATTTCTTATCAAAGTAATAATTCCCAAATAGCTACAAATATAAGTTACTAATTATACTTAATCCATACATCCCTATGGTGTAGTGGTAAGCGCGTAGGATTTAGTATCTAATGGATCGGGGTTCGATACCTGTCTATGACAACATTTTTTAGTTTTCAAAAAACACGTTGGATTTACATCGGAATGCCAACGTCGCGCGATGTCAGTTTATCCGACGTCAAGTAACATTTCCATTTCCAACGTAAACCCAACGTCGATCCGACGTCGAGATCCGACGTCGCTCGACGTTCGTTCGACGTCGAAATGCCCACTGGGTCCCGACTCTAAAGACAGCGTTCAACCATTGCGCCAAGGCTGATCAAATTTAGCTCAAAATATACAAAATATATACCTTTAAAGGCGTAATTATAAAACTGAAAACGCAGTAGGTTGAATATTTAGTAGGTTGAAAATTCAGTAGGTCAAAAATACACTAGGTCAACGATTTAGAAGGTTGGAAAATTGTAGTACAGGTTTTAATTTGGTGTAAATATAAAAATCAAGAATTGTCGGTTGAAAATCAAAAACCTTATAATCTACAATTTACAAAGTTTCAAAAATTGGTTGGTATAGACCAATTTATTTAAGTCATACGAAATCCATGTTTTAGACAAACAAACCTATATTAATAGTTTTTTGTTTCCTCTAAAAAATTGGGAAGTTTTTCAAAATTGTTTTTAAGGCTTCGAATGTTTAGATGGAGTAATTTTATTTAAATTTTTGTCGCACACATTTTAAAAAGAAAATAGGTAGACATTTTGCGCTAAACTTGAATGGTAGAAACATGATTTCATACTCCATCATTCCATATTCCGTAAAGTTAGTTGACGTAATGTTTATTTTTTGACGAATAAGTAAGCATTTAAGATACAAAAAGCATTGTTAAATAATTTGTTTTATGCAATGGTTTTAGGTGAATATTTAATTATTGGTCACGCGTGGTTAAATGTTTTTATCAAATACATAACTCAATAAAATAGTTGTAAAATATGATTTTATACTTTAATACAAATGTGTTTATACAGTTTATATACAAATCAGACTGAAATTTGTGATCATAATATCTAAGTGAATCGCGATTGTAAAGATAAAACTAAATCATAACATTAAAATAATTTGCTTGCTAATGTTTGTTTGTTTGTTTATTTGTTATTTTGCTTAGGAATTATTTCTACAACCAAATTTTGATTATACCATGCATTAAATATCTGGTAAAGTAATAACACATTCTTGAATTTTATCTTTTTTTAAAAAAATCTTAGTGCCTCTACTATGGGGTTGTCTATACATTAAGTAACGCTTTAGGAGGGGGGGGGGTCAATTACATCTGGTTAAAATAATACATTATATATGTAGTTACTTATATAAGTTAAATATATAATTATTATATTATACAAGTGCTGCTACATGGACTGACAAATAACCTGACTTGCAAGGGAGTGCTGCTACATCGACTGAGGGTTTGGTTTGGGCAGGCAGTCTATCAAAAAATTAAAAACAAAAAATTATTATGCTTAAAATAATGCATTATAATAAATTTTTTTGGCGGATGTAGTTACATCCGAAAAAAATCAAATGTGTAACTACATCTGAATAAAGTAATGCATTATTAAAAAATATTTTTTTTCGGATCAAGTTACATCCGAAAAATCTACAGATGTAGTTGCATGGGTGTTATTATTCATCAATATTATATATATATATATATATATATATAGTATATATATATATATATATATATATATATATATATATATATATATATATATATATATATATATATATATATATATATATATATATATATATATATCTTTTTGAAAATATATAGTTATGGGGTGTATATATATATATATATATATATATATATATATATATATATATATATATATATAACTATATACATATACACATATACATACATATATATATATATATATATATATATATATATATATATATATATATATATATATATATACATCAATATTATATATATATATATATATATATATATAATATTGATGTATAATAACACGTAATTTATGGACCCCTTATTTCTATTACGGAGCTTCAAAAGTCAGTTTATTACGGCTAATTTTGAGGCTGAGCATAAATTTATCCTTTAAAGCATAAAATCAAGTAATTTTGATTAATGGCTCTGCTAAAAAAAACCTTTAATTATTGATTTATTACTACAGGGTCGTTAACGACCCGTTTCGGTACGAAAAAGATATAGGGCCGAGTAAATAAAACTTGTTGGCCCCGATTCAAAGTAAAAGAAATGCATATAAAATCTGAAGCGCTAAACTTGCGAAAAAGAAGATTCAAGAGAAAAAAAAGAGTAGTTTAACACTTTTCAAGGTTATTACAGTTATTATTGATATGTTATGAAAGTGGAGCTACTAAAAGGACATTGAAGAAAGAGAGAGGGGAAATGGTAGCTAAACATTCCGAAAATTACAAATTTTTTTAATTTTATTAAAAAAAATTATAGATTAACGATATTAAATCTTAAACATGACAAATTTAAAAAAAAGAAAAAAATGTTAAACATGTCAAATATAACAAAATTAAGATTTAAGCTTATTTTTAATATCAAATTTATGAAATTATACTTATTTTTAATAACATATTTAACATTAAGCTTATTTATAATATCAAAAAGTTATAATTACCTCAAATTGTCTGGAAACAAATATAAAACACTAAAAGATGCCGAATGTTTGAAAAAATTTTGAAAAAACTATGGCTGTGTTCAAATGTATTTAAAACCTGTAGAAACACCTAAAGATTTCGTCGTACGCGATGCTGATGATATTGACACAATCACAGATTGTATTGATACGCCACCACAACGTGATGATAGTGACTCAGTCATAGGACTCACAGTTGTCACAAATCTTGCTGATATACCACCATAACTTAATGCTGATAATTGTGGATTACTCACAGATTGTGCGGATATACCACAACAATTTGATGATAGTGACTCAGTCACAGGTAGTGCAGATATACCACCACAACGTGAAGCTGATGATAGTGACTCAGTCACAGACTATACTACTTTGGTGAAACCTATTATTAATTTCCGAGTAAGCTACCCAACAGACCCTCACTTATTTTGTAATGAAAGCATTACACTACAATTATTTGAGACTTATTACAATATGGGCCGTGCCAGCCAGGACTCTGTGATAATTTTAATGATTTCACAAAACATGACATGAGAAGGCACTTTAGAACAGCGTGGTACAAATAGAAGCTGTTAAAAGGTTTACGAGAGGAGGAACATAATTGTCACTGATTGATTCATTCCCCACGAGTTTGATTTATTCCCCAAGAGTTTGATTTATTCTCCACGAGTTGATTTATTCCTCACGTTATGTATTGTTTTGCCTGTTAGCTTTTCAGCAATAATAGAGCAGACTATTCTTGGAGCGATTGTCAAAAAGGTTTTTCAAGTTTTACAAAAGGTTTCTCCAAAATTAAGATGCACAAAACATCAAAAGCCATGAAGATTCTGTGAGACAGTTATTTTTAACAAAGTTTTGCATATCTCATGACAAAACGGTTTCGGCAGAGTTTGTAACCTCAGAGAAAAGACAGATAGAAAAAAACAAGAGGATTTTAAAAAATATCATAGATGGAGTATTGTTTTTAGGCAAACAAGGATTGGCTTTTCGTAGACACAGAGAGTTTGGTGGTAGGGGTTCTTGTAATGAAGGCAATTTTCTCGAAGTCAGAAAACTTCTTGTAAAATATGAAAATGAATTGAAACAGCATGTCAATCAAAGTGACCACAATGCCTCCTATCTCAGTTTAGACATCCAGAATGACCTTATACATCTTCGACATCTGAAATTAATGCAAAAATATGTTCAGAAGTAAAGAATGCTAAGTATTTTTGCAGTTATTATAGATTCCACCATTGACGTAAGTCGAGCTGATCAATTTTCTATATCTTTGCAATATATTACAGCTGGTGAAGATTCAACTTAAAGGTTTGTTCAGACCTTAAAGCTATCCACTGCAAATGCTGAAGCCTTTTTTAATCTTCTAAAGTCTTTTTTAGATGAACTAGATATGCCAGCAAAACTGTGCTATTGCCAGTCATATGATGGTGAAAGTACCATGTCTGGTGAAATTTCTCGCTTGCAAAAAAAAATTAAAGTTATTGCACCATATGCTTTGTTTACACATTGTTGTGTCCACAATTTAAATCTGGTGCTGGTCGATGCCGTAAATTCTGATGTACAATAGAATTTTTTTTTGGTACTTTAGAAACCGTATACACATTTTTTACAAGCAGTTTGCCTAAGTTAACTTTGCTCAAAGAAGAGCAACGTCAGAGTGTGGAAAACTTTGCCTTAAGTCTGAAACGTCTCAGTGACACAAAATGAGCATTTAGAAAAGTAATTGTTTATTCTATTTTACAAAATCTTCCAGCATTGAAGAAAATTGGTAGCTTTGAAGAAAATTGGTGCAGGGCAAATAAAAAATTGTACAACCAAGCACTTGGCAGTAGCTAAGGAAGTTCTTGTATCTCTTCAGAACATTTAATTTGTTGTTCTTCTAGTCTTTTGGAGTAAGCTGTTAACACTAGCTTTTTATTTGTTTCAATACTTACAGAAGAGTACTATAAACATGGTTGTTGTTGCCAGCGGCATCAAAATCTTTGAACCTCAACTTAACAATATTAGAGAAAACTTTGATGCTAGTTTGAGTGATCTGGAAGAAGAAGCCTATGAACTTGCTTTATAATACAACATATCAACAGTTTATACGCAGAAAAGAGTTGGAAAAAAGAAAAGACATTATGACAAGCTTGCAATTGATGAGAGAAAAAAAGATGTCTGAAAGAATATTGTGGTTAATCCTTATTTGGTCTCACTAGACTCTGTGGTTAGCACAATAATGAATCAATTTCAACAGTTCATGAAGATTAATTCAAAGTTCAAATGTTTAGATCCAAAGCATTATGAGGATGAGGATAGTTTAGAACTTATCAAATTTTTCTCAGAGCAATATCCGATTGATATCATAACTCTGGATGATGTTGTTCAAGAATTTCCTTCATTCAGAATTCTTTTTAAAGAAACGGACACGGAAGAGTTGAACATTAACAATGTTTTAAAATTCTTACTAACTAATAATCTCTGTGACCTTTACCCAAATATCACAACATTGTATAAAATATATATCACGTTGCCTATTTTGAGCCCATCAGCAGAGAGGTCCTTCAGCAGATTAAAGCTCCTTAAGTCATATTTACGGTCCACTATGAGCGAGGAAAGATTTTCGGCCTTAGCATTACTGACAACTGAAAGAGACTTAGTGAATGACCTAGATCTTGAAGTAGTGTTAAATGGTTTGCCCAGATGAAACCTAGACGAATGAAGCCTAATAAAGATTCACACACCCTACTATTGTTATATTGTTGAGAATAATTTATTGAAATATTATAATTATTATAATATTAAACTATTCTAGTGTAACTAAATGTGATTTGTTATTGTGGATGTTGTCAACATTCAGGGGGAAAATTTCTGAGGCATTCCCCCCCCATACCCCCGCTTCTGGAGGACCTGCCAGCCTCGAGGCGTCTTTTCAAAAAGAAATTCGCTCCCCCAGTTGTCAAACCCTGGCTACGCCTCTGATGGTAAGCCAGATTTAGAGCGAGATTAATTATTGGGCTGCAATCTTAAATAGAATAGTAGCAGTTATTCGTTTTTTAGCCGAAAGAGGTTTAGCATTTTGAGGCCATAATGACGTTATAGGACCGACAAATAAAGGAAATTACTTAGATGTGTTCGAACTGTTGACTCAATTTGATCCAGTTTTAAAGCAACACATTGACACTTTTGCAAATAGAGCCAAAGGTGTATTAAAATTGTCTAAAACTATTTGTGAAGAGTTAATTGATTGTCTCAAAAGGTTTTAACGCTCATTATTAGCAAAATAAAAAAAATACTAGAGAATTATTCTACGCCTGATATTTCTCACGTGGATCAACTTTCTGTGATATTTCGTAATTATCTAAATGGCTACGTGTATGGGTGGTTTTTTTATTTTCTACAAATTAAAAGGCACGAAGGTAAATTCTTGATTACTATCATTTTAGATCTACTGGGAAAATATAATATTGATATAAACAATTATCGTGGATAGGCATACGATAATGCAAGCAAATGTTATTTGCCATTAGATAATGTCTCGTGAATGTTATTTGCCGTTTAATATTATTTACATAAAGATTTATAATATTATACGGGCAGGACTTGAAGAAGATCCTAATGACCTTATCACGAAGCCCTTAATAAAATTTTATTTTCTTCTTCAATAATATATATATATATATATATATATATATATATATATATATATATATATATATATATATATATATATATATATATATATATATATATATATATATATATATATATATAGATATATATATATAGATATATAGATTTTTATTCATTTTATATATAAAATGAATATAAACCAAGAATATGTAATCACTAAATATAGCATAAATTTGATATTCTACATACTTTAGAAGTGAAACTCAAAATAAAACATAACAAATCAATATGCAAATAGCAACTGAAAATATTAAAAAAATAAAAATTAAAAAAAATCAAGAATTTTTTAGTTGAAAAAATGTTTTTTTAATAGATTGTTTGAAAAAGGAATATGTCAATTTAGTTGAAAAAACAAAATTAGGCCGAACTATTTCATTCCAGAAAAAAGGTCTACGATAAGATATACAAAACTGAGCTTGTTTATTATTGCAAAATGGTTTTTCTAAAATGCTATTAATACTTAGGTTAAATTTGTTTAGGGGTTTAATTTTGTAAAGGTTTACAAATGCATCGGGGTTCATAAGTTCTTTATATTTGTACATAAAACACAAAACATTAAATACATTTAGTTGATAAACATTTAAGACGTCCATTTCTTTAAAAAGCGGTTCAGAGTTTGAAAAACCTTTATTTTTAACTTATCATGCGAGCTGCGTGTTTCTGATGCCGATAAAGAGATTTAAGTTTAGTTTTATGTGTACTTCCATATAATATTTGCATAATTCATATGACAGTGAATAAAAGATTAATATAATTGTGTTAATTGCTTTTTGCTTATAATACCTCTAGATTTGTATAGAATTCCAATGTTTATTGCAACTTTATAAGAAATATTACTGATGTGTCATTTCCAAGACAGTTTTTCTTGAATAAAAACTCCTAAAAACTTTGTCACTATTTCTCTTTTTACATTGTCTATAAAAAGATCAGATATATTTAAAAAAGATGGAAAGGTATTCATTTTATTTTTTCAATGTTTAAAGATAGCCTATTTTAATTGAACCCAATTGAAATTTTTTTAAGTTCTCTGTTCATATTATTAAAAAGTATGTTTATATTTTCATGTGACTGAAACAAGTTTGTGTCGTCTACAAAAATTAAAGTCTTTAAATTGGATACTTTGTTAAGATCATTTATATATATAATGAAAAAAAGTGGTCCAAGAAAACACTCTGCTATACATTATTCTTTCTAATATTTTTGAAAAAACTGGAAGAACAGAAATAGGTCTGTAATTTGTTATATTGGTAGGGTCTCCTGTCTTAAAAATAGAAGTTCTTTTTGCTATTTTCAGAAGGTCTGGGAAAGGACCTTGTTTAATGGATGATTTAAAGATTTTGTAAAGAATATCTTTCATGATGTCATAAGAATCTATCACAAAATTTTCATTTATACCGTCAGGTCCTACTGATTTATTTCTTTTTAACGATCTAAAAGCTGTATCAAATTCCTCAAGCGTTAGGTTTGTAAAATGTAAGGAGTTTGACGTTTGAAGTTCATCGGTTAATGTATAATTTCAATTATAAGGGATTTTGTTTCATAAATTTGCTCCTATAGTGGAAAAAAATTTGTTAAATTCAGTTGCAATTTCATTACAGGTATACGTACCGCAAAAACAACCGTACCGCAAAAACCACAAAGTTGACTTAAGTGACCTAGCATGTAGAAAAAGATTCAGGATTCAAAAAACTTGATATAATATGATAGCTTATATGTCATCCTATAAATTAAAACAGTTTTAGTGGTTGTTTTATTTGTTAAATATTTTGGTACTTGGGCTAGAATAAAAATTTCAATTATAAAAATGTGTAGTTTTTTTTGTTTTGTAGGAGCCTAAAAGCCATATCAGAGAATAAATTAGCAAAATATAGTTTTTCTATTACCTATGGATTATAACTAGATACTGAAAGTTTTTTTTCTCAAGCAGTTATAAGCCTTTATAACACCCTCATACAGAAAGGAAGTATAATTGTTGTCTTTGGGATACATTTTATAGATATCACTTTATAGACCATGTTTTGAAATAAAAAACAACAACAATAAATTACCATTGTGTTTGATTTTTTTAAAGAAAATAATGTATATTTATCTTAAAAACAGTATTTGAACACAGCAGTAATAACACAGACTAAAATGGCTGCAGACTGTATAACATTATTATAACAATAGGCTACTACAACAATGTTAAGATAACAAAGATTAATAAAATAGTACTTTAATTGATTACTTTAATTCAAAAAAAGATTATTTATTGTCAATGCATTTGTTATAATGGTCGTATATCAGTCTTTTAGATGTGGAGAAGTGCTGGTTTGCTGGTAAAAGCATAACCGGTTTAACACCATCAACTCTGCAACTCACTTTGCTGCAAATTGAACGGAGAACATCAAGACATTGGATTAGGACATTGCTTTAGTCCAAAATTAGGACATTGCTTTAGTCCAAAAGATTGACATTTCCTTTGTTTGCATAAACATTCAACTTTACATTTAATAAATTTTTCTTTGGCTTCTTCTTTTTATTGGTTTCCTCCTTTGCTGTTATTATTTGTTGTTTCTCTTTTTTTATATCTTTCACTTTCGCTGCAACATCTTTTGCACGCATTGAACCATAGACCTGAGTTACACAAGTAGATATTTTTTTAAGGTTTGGTTTGATTTTCTTAATAGTTAGCAGATTAGGAATGTTTTCTAATTGGAGGCTTTGCTCAGCCATTTCTCTAATCAAGATTTGAGACTGATAAAACTTATCTTTTAAGTAACTTGCTGAACCTTTCCATTTTACGAACTGGTGACGAAATGGTTGATTCAGGTTTTTTGAGAAAAGTTGACGCTGGTTCTTCTTTATGAATGCATGCAGCAGCTCGCTCAAATTTATCTTGTTGCATAAAGTTAACATTGAATTCAAAAGGTATTATTTCAACTCTTTTTGCACTAGAAACAAGAGCCGGTTTCGATGCCCATTTCTTCCATACATTGCCTAGGATGGTCATAAATCTCTCTCGATTAATTGATTGCATTGGGTTGAAAAGATAATTCTTGGCAATTCTGTACTCATGATTAAGATTTTTATTAACCTGGTCAAACAACTGAGTTACACCAGTAGTGTCGGGAGCAGAAATAAATAACCAAATTTGTTTTGAAAGGAGGTATATTAAACAATTGTAACTGAATCGTGAGCTATATCTGTCAGATAATAAAACAACAGGTCGTTCTATAGCCTTTTCAGTAAAGTAATCATCAAATTCTCTGCCTTTTCTAATTGTAAATTCTTTGCATCTGTGAACTTTCTCCTAATTGATGCCTCAGGCTTACTTTTACCATGAATAGATTGTAATTTTTCCTGCCTGAGCTGAAATTTGGCTTCATTTTCTATGTTATTTTTTTCTTACTCTATTTAAATAAAAAAATTATCGTTAAACATTTTAGAGTACATTAGTCGCTTACAGAACATATCTAAATACTATAAAATAACTTTCAAGTAAAAATTTAGATTTTTCTCTATGTTCAAACAAAAAGTAAGTTTTAATAAATTCTTGCAATTGCTATGTTTTAAAAATGTTATTGATTTTTTAATACGTATAAAACACGATGCAAACTTTATTTAAAACACTGCAATGACATCTTTAGAATGAAGAGATTATATAGAATCAATATAGTAAAAAGCAAGAACACATGCATAGCTTAAAAACATCAATATTGTTTTTGGGGTACCTATCTTGTGGTTTTTGTGGTGCATCGGGTATTTTCTCCAACATTAAGTTAGCAGTAACTGGTTTTATTTAAAGCAGATCAGATAATATTAGGACACGCCAAATTTCAGCTTCATAAGTTCACTAGTTACAGAGATACAATCGATAAATGAAATGCGGTTTTTGGGGTACACATACAAAAAACAACAAAAGTTCAATTAACAATAACAACAAAACTATTTCTTAAAAATTAATCAAACTAGCTGAGGCAAAAAGTAATACCAAACGAAGCTAAGGCAAAAAGTAATATCAAACAAAGTTGC